GCTGGAAGCCGAGGTGTGGGGGGGTGGGGGAGTGCCTCTCGGCCCCTTTGGAACACCCACCGGCCCTGCAGGGGCCGCCTCCAGCCCATTTTGCAGAAGGGAAAGCTGAGACTCAGAAGCTGAGACTCCACCTGCCAAGGGTGGAGGCCAGCTGGGGGTCTGGGGTCCTACAGACCTGGGTTCAAATGTGCCTACGCTTACCCCTACGTGACTACTGCTGCGCCTCAGTTTCCTCATCTGCGCGGGTGGGGGCCCTGACCCCAGCTCTGCCACTGACCCTGGCTGGTCAGGGCTCCTCTCTATGCCTCAGCTTCCTCATCTGCACAGTGGGAGGGCGACAGCACCCCCTGTTTCCACAGGTCACCACATGAAAGGAGTCAGCAGATGCCCGGGTTTAGCACAGAGCTCAGCCCTGGTCAGAGCTCCATAGGCAGGCCTCTTGCCCTGGTGGGAAGGAATCCCCTGCTTGGAGGGCTGGGCAGTGCTAAGCCCTCCCCTCATAGGCTTGCCTCTGGTTTAAGACTGTGGGAACCCAGGCCCAGAGAGGCTGGCAGCGACAAGGGTTCCTGAGGCTCCCCTTGGGTCAGGCCGAGCTCTCCTTGAGCGGGGCCTAGGTGGTCCCGGCCCTGCCCTGCTACCCACAGGCCCTCCCATCACACCCCCGTCAGCTGTCCAGCTGGGGAAACTGAGGTCTTGGGAAAGCACTTGCTCCTCACCAGGTTTGGAAGCCTCTCAGACCACCAGGCCTGGAACCCGGCAGCCCCGGCCTGGGAAGGGGTCCCAGACTCACTCCCTAAGTAAGCCTCTCCCCAGAGCACTGCATTATCACTGACAGAGCCCATGGGGCGCTAATGGGGGACTTTCAGGCACCAGCAAGGAGCAGAGTGAGGGGAAGAGCCCCTCAAATTGTGGGAGGTCGGCTGTGGTTGCTTCTCAAATCACTTCCATTCCAGTACAGTAGGGCTGAGGGGGTGTCGGGACGCCAAAGGGAAAAGGGGAACCCCCTGAGGTGGGAGCTACAGCTGAAGCCCTGAATGCGGTCAGCTGCACGGCCTGAGGACAGAGGAGGTCTGTCGGGGGGTTGGGCCCCGACTCCTGCTCCCCTTGCTCTGGGGCCCTCGGCTACCCTGGTGATGACTCTTCCACCCCCAGTGGCCTTGGCATTCAAGTTCTGCCAGCCGCTCCCAGCCCCCTTCAGCCTGGTAACTGAGGGACAGGCCCTCTGGATCCCCAGGGGAAGCCCCGCCCCAGGCCCGCCCTGGTCCCTGTGGTTTCCCTGACGCTGCCGGTCACACTTGCTAGCCCCTCGGCAGAGTCCTGCCACCCTTGTCCCAGCCTCACAGGCCTCTTGGGTTTTGCAATGGAGGAGAAGGCTGTGGGGATCCTGGGGCCGTGCGTCCCTAGTGGGGGGAAAACACTAGAGCAGGTGAACTTGTAGGAGGCTGAGGCAGGAAGCTCTCTCTCTGCTCCCCCCACCCTGGACGGGGACCTCATTATCAAAGACCCTAAGAATCCACTCAAAAGTTTACCTCATAGATTAGCAATGAAGAAACTAGGGCCCAGAGAGGGAAAGTAACTTGCCCAAGGGCACACAGCAGGGGAAGTAAGAGCTGGGATTTAAATTCCTGGCCTGACCCTTAAGTCATTCAACCCATGCCCTGTCTCAGGGCCCTGAACCTCATCCACCTACCTGCCTTTGGAAACCCTCCACATCCCTTCTGCATGGAAACCCAGGGAAAGTGACCCTGGGCAAGCTCTGCCTCTGGGCTGGGCACCAGGGACCCTTGTTCCCTGGTGGTGGTGATGGGAGGAAAGGAGCCTTTTCTAAGCCATCCCCTAGGTCCCGCAGTTGCAGAATTCCCCAGGCCTCAGTCTCCTTGTCTTTAAGATGGGCTAATGGAATCTGCCGTGGCCCTCCTAGCTCAGCCCGAGCACTGGGGAGACCGACGCACCAGGTGGCACTTGGACTTGAGGGTGGTGTGGTCTTACCTCTAAGAGCCAGGTGTCTTCAGGGTGGAGCCAAGACTGCTGGGTTGTCACGGGCCACCTCCCAGGGACCTGAGGGCCTAGGGTGGAGCCCCGGCCCATGGGACGAGAGCGAGCCTGAAAGGAAAGGGCGTCAGCGCTGGGAAAGGAAAGGGCACAGCGCCGTAGGCGGGACCTCCCACCCTCCCACCCCACGGACCCCTGGCCTGCCCACCGTGAATGCCTCCACTGCCGCCTTCTCAGTCATCCTCTGCAGGGCGCTGTGGACCTGGAGGATGGGGCCAGGGTCAGGGCTGGGACCTTCTCCTGACCTCCACGGGCCAGTTGCAGAGCCCCCTGCAAGTAAGCCCTGCCCGCCTCCACCCACATCCCACCCTCCAGCAGCCAGTATCCCCTGACTTACCTCCCCGTGTTGTAGGCTGCATAGACCAGGAAGATGTACGGCCCCCTGGGGACAGACCCAGGGTGAGGGTGGGTGTCACTACCTGGGAGCCCCATCTCCTCTCCCCCAGTGTCTGGCCTGGCACCGCAGCAGAGGCACCTCCAGAGACATTTAGAGACACAGGAGGGTGAACACAAATCCTGCCCTGCCCCCCAGTCCGCCATGGGGAGCAGGCAGTTGTGGCATTCTGTGGCAAAGAGAACCAGGAGGGGCCTTGCCCCGCTGGACCCCCTGCCTTCAGTCTCTGGTCAAGAGGCAGCCTCTCTGCCCTCTATCCCTCCAAGCCCCACCCCCGTGACCTGCCCCATCCTCACACCCTCACCATGTTGCAAGGGTGGGGAATGGGAGAGGCGACACCTCCCCGAAGCTCCAAGGCTAAATCAGGTCCAGGGACAGCAGACCCTGGTTGCATTCTGATTGTATCTCTAGCTGAGTGCCTCTCTGAGCCTCTGTCTCTTCATCTGGAAAGTGGGGAGGAGGCCAGGACTTGGTTCCCTCTGTGTGTGAAGGACTCAGCACAGTGGCTGAGTCATAGCTGGCTCCTTCCCACACATGCGAGGACCACAACGGCCTCGCCGCTCACAAAGCACCAGCACACTTGGGGTGACACTTGACCCTCATGGTTGGGGGGTGGGGGGTATTCATTCTCCCCATTTGATGGAGAGGGACCCTGGGGCCCAGGGTAGGAGACAGAGCAAAAGTATGACTCAGCGGGTAGCATGTGGAGCCTAGGACTTCCTCAGATTCCACCTGGACAATGTAACAGTTCCTCCCCAAGAGGACACAGGTGAGGGGACATGGGGTTCCTTGAGGCCCTCTAGTTTCCCAGGGCTGAGAGCTGGAGCCCCAGAGCCTGACTACTCCCCCTGGCTCCCAGGCACCAACTGGGTTGCTACCAGCCCCAACTCTGCCCCTAAGACAGACTCTGGGCTTCCCAGCCCCCCACACCCAGCCTGTGCTCTCTCCAAAGCCCCTGCATAGCCTCCCCCATCCTGTCTCCTTTTACTCACTCCTCACACCCAAACAGATGCACTCCAACCCAACCACACCAGCACCTGCCTAACGTCCTCCAAGGCCCCCTAGTACCCCTGGGGTGAAGTCTGAGCTCCTCACAACAGCTCTAGGGACCCTGCACAGTCTGGTCCCCATGTTCCCTCCTGTCCCCTTTCTCACCAGCTCTCCCAACCCCATGTCTCCCTCCATCTGATACCACTCCGCTCCCCTAACTTAAAACATTCTTCCCCCTCTCTCCACACAGCGTTCAGGTATTAGCTGAGAATCACTGCCTCCAGGGAGTGCCCATTCTGCCTCCCCATATGGCCCCGACTGCCCCTTAGCCTTTCAGCCTCAATCGTGCCCGCTGTAGTTGTGTGGTTTTGCTGTCTGTCTGTCCCTCAGGCTGAGACCCCCAAGGGTGGGTTCCTCGATCTTGAGTTCCACCACTTTCCCCAGCATGCAGCCCAGCACAGGGGCGGCGCTGGGGAAGTATGTGCTGAATGACCAAATGACACCAATGTGCTCACGTTCATGGCGCTCCTGATGTGTGCCAGGTGTTCTGCTTTGCCCTTTGCAAGTATCTTCCCAGTGGAGCCACACAACGGTCCCACGAGGTGGAGAATATGATCCCCCCCTTTATATAGATGTAGAAACTGAGGCCTGTCTCAACTTGTGCAGGCCTCCCAACAACACTCTCAGGCAGTGTAGGTGTGAGCTACAGCTAGTTGCAGAAGTGAGGCTCTGCTCTTCCACCACAAAACCTGGCACAGGAGCCAGACGGAGACAAATCACCAAGAGTGAATGAATGAGTCAGAGCAGATTTCAGTCCCTCCAGCCCCAGGCCTGCTCCCTGGTCACCTTGGTCAGGTCCTGCCCAGCTTATGCCCAAGACAGAGTGAGAGAGGGATGGGGCTGGAGGTGGGGCAGGGAGAGAAAGACATGGAGAGACAGCAGGTATGATGGAAGAGAGAGGGGAGGGAAAGGCCAGGCCTGGGGAGGGAAGCAGCCGGGAGGACCCAGAGAATGCGGCTCTGAGCCTAACTTGGGGACCTGCCCCGAGACAGTCACAGGAACATCAGAGTGGGCCCAGGTCTCATGCCTTCTGACTCCCCCATAAGGCAGCCTCTCCCCTCCTTTACCAGACCTGAAGGTCTGAGGCTGGCTGGGAGGGGGCAAGAGAGGTGACACTCAGAGAGAGGGGGAAGCAGGGTAGGGAACCAAGAGACAGGGGTTCAGAGCCCAACAGAAGGGGAGATGTAGAGAGAGGCCCAGGAGGAGCCAGGTGGGTCCATGCCAGAGGAGGCGGGGACAGGGACAGGAGCCTGTGACAGAGCCTGAAAGACAGAGAAAGAATCCCAGGGAAAACTCAGAGACAGAGACGAAGTAATGAGACACCGGGAGAGAAAAGGACCTGCCCTGAGAAGAAGGCAGACAGCGTGGTGATGGTGGCTCTGGCTCCCTGGCTGCAGCTCTGCCCACCTGAGGGCCACAGGCAGGGATGGAGCTGGAGTAGTTGTCATAGCAACAGGATGCTCCTGCCCTCACCACTCTGAGGCAGGGTGGAGAGACCTGGGTAGGGTCCCTCTGCTAAGTGGGCTGAGCTGGAATTCCAGCCCGTGGAGCTCTGGGAGTGCAGGGCTTGGAGGAAGGGCTTCTCTGTGTCCATCTCTGTCTCCAGCTGCTCAGGCCCCGCCAGGTGTCTGGGAGCCGTGCTTCTTTAGGAAGAGCG